GGCCATGCCTGTTGGATATGCTGTTTATTCAACTACTAAATCTGCGAAAAATGCATATGTGATTTCATCATATCCACCTTTGAATAATAACTGTGCCAGACAGGGTCTCAAGATGATCTGTGGTTAAACTATCCACGAGTAATAGTGAGATCAGATGAATGATGGTGATGCGTGCACAGAAATGACGTATAGAGTTGCTGCATCTCAAAACAAAATTGATTTGAAAAATTACTTCCTGGTAAGAAATTTACAAGCAAAATGCAGATGAGGCATAACTGTCCAAGAAAACAATTTTTCACTTTCTAAAACGCAAACATTATAACCAAGTAAAAGTCTGAGGTACATAGAGGAGTGCAAGCTCCTTTTTTCTATCTATCTGTTCATCATTCAGAAATGATAACAAGAGGATGTGGGATGATGACCTGCTTATTAGAATATTAATAATATTGCATTTGATATAGCACCTTATCACGTCATTGTCCCAAACCGCTTCACAGAATATACTGTAAAGTGAATTGACTATACATTTTGCAGGTGAAACATGGCAGCCAATTTCGCACAGCAGTGTCCCAAAAATAGTATTGGATTCAGTGACCATTTTTTTTAAAAAAAGGATTATTACCTCTGGAAAGCGATCCGCTAATCGACTAACAACCAAGTTCCTACTTACTACTAGGGTAAAAAAAGCACGTGGAATAAGTAAATCTTTGAATAGTAAACCTGTGGAGACGGTTGAAGCAGGAAATGTTGATTCCTTCAAACACAGATTAGATAGTTTTTAGGAAAATAACATTGTAGTACATAGGTAGTTCGGGACATATGTGCATGCGATCTCCAGGAAGGTGGAATGCGAACTAGATGGACCTTGGTCTTTTTTTGTCTCGCATTTCTTATGTTCTTATGAAACTTGCCTAAGTTTTTGTCCCGCCTGGGAATCAAATCCATGTTTTCTTGGTTGTGAGGCAAGTACTCTAGCCACTATTTTATAGGATTCCACCTCTTAACCTCTGGGAATAATTGATTGTACATTGAACTGTCTACTAGGTGATGTACAAGTGCAATCCAAGAACGATGCTCTTTCCTTATAAAAACACATACCCTCCACTGAGAATCTTCCAGTGCAACTGTATCCCATTACTTCATGCAATTTTGTTACATTAATGGTTGCACGTTGTATCCCCACAAATTCAGCCAGGGTATTTGCTATTCATCACAAACCACCATCTCCTGTTAAAATGTGTATGGGAATTCAGGAGGACAGGATTGAACACAACTGTAACTTTCAATGAATCTTTCACTCATGATAACCCTTTGAACACACTGCAGATTTACATTTAATGAAAAAAAGCTAGAATATTTGTTTAAATTATGTTCATTGTGGAAACTTGTAACTTGTTGGTAAACTGATCAAGAATTTATACTGAGATGTTAGATAGAATATCACTGGATGTTTTTCACTTGGATTTTCAGAAACTATTTGATAAGGTTCCACACAAGACATTACAAAATAAAATTGAGGAACATGAAATTGATGGTAACTGATTCCATTGTTGGGAAATGAGTTGGGGAATACCAGGAATACTCCCTCATTGGATGGCAGCGACAAGCGATTTCCCTAGAGTTTTCTCCCCTGATTATGCCCTTCTGAACCCTTGCTCATTTCAGCACGTTTTTTTTAAACTACCACCCCTGACCCCCTTCAGTACTCCCACTCAACTTACCCCCTCCTTGGGCTCAGGTGCCCAACAAGCAGTATAAAGCACTTTAAGACATCCTCCCAATTTGAAAGCAATTTAGGGGGTCATAGAATGATGAATAAAGATGCCATAATGCCAACTATATAGCATAGTATATACATACAGTAAAACTCACAATTCTGATCTATAGAAATTGTTTAACCACCCGTCATACATCTGCACAAGTCCCGTTGAATTTCCTATTAAATCTACTTAAATGTATCTGCATTAATTGTATTAATCCTCACACTCGCTTTCAAATCCCTTCATGCCCTGGGACCTCCCTATCACTCCGACCTGCTTATCCGCCAACCCACAACCTGCTGCCTCTGCTTGACTGGCTCTGGCCTTCTGCATGTCCCTCATACCCTCTGTTCCACCATTGGTGGCTGCGCTTTCAGCCACTAAGCCCCAAAACTCTGGAACACTCTTCCTCTATCCCTCTGCCTTGCCCCTTCCTTCCTCATTTTCAGATCGCGCCTGAAGACCTTCCTATTCGACTGTGCTTACGGTCACCTCTCACCCCTCCACCCCCCAGCTCAGTCATGCTCCGCCACTTGTCAAGCGCTCTGGGACGCTATCCTGCATGAGGGGCACTATATAAATGGAAGTTGTTGTATTAACAATCACTCAATTCATAACTACGCTTCTGCACTGGACGCTACGAACATACTGGCTGCCGGGTCAAAACTAAGTTTCCCGTGCCTACTTGAAACAGAACATCACATTCGCACCCTGATGCTCTCTGGACCCTCGCTCCTTGGGGAGTAACATCAAACTCAGCAAACACAGCCGAGCGGGGGTCTGAGAGGAGAGCATCACCTGATCACATGGTGAGCGAGGGATTGAAGAATGTCTGATCACATGGAGTGTGAAGAGGACCCTTCACTGCATGCGCACTTACTGGCTTTGAAGCAGCATATGCAGTGCTCCATGTGAGACAATCACAGGAACCTAAGTTCCCACCCGTCATCCACATACTGGCTGCAATACCTAAAGACCACATGCGCAGCACAGAAAAGTGAACAAGTACAGAAGACGAGGTTTTGACCAGCCATCAAGCAAAGAAGATTGCACAACTAAATGCAAATTACTGACAAAGACCAATCACGAGAAGTACCCAATTCTCCAATTGCAAATCCTGAAATGCTAAAGGACACAGTTTCAAAATTTATTTGAAGCCAAACTTTACCTCATGGTACTGGTGCAGTAATGTATATGGAAAGATAGGGCTACAGTAGCTTTCATGTGGATTAAACATAGTACATGAACTTTGCCTTACAGTCACGAACCAGTTCAGGCATCGGACAATCAATGTAATACAACTTTACATAAGTCATATGATATGACTTGTGCAAGTTTCACTTAACTCCTACTTTGCATAAGTCATATTAAATGTATGGTTCCAACTGATCTGACTTATGTGAGATTTACTGTAGACGGTCTCCGTATAGATGGTATCGTGCCTTTCACATTGGGGCAATTAGGTCACATTCTGCTTCAGAGTTGACAAATCTATAGCGACAAAAATTGTGCAGCAATCGATTTACACACAATGTTCTTCAAACAGCCACAAAATGAAATTTAGGGGATTGTTCACTAGGATACCAGGAGAAACTGGTTTTGAACAGGGCCATGGGATTTTCAATGTCCATCTCAACAGGCATACTGGATCTTGGTGTAACGTTTCATCCAAGTATGGCACCTGACAATGAGGCACAACCCCAGCAGTGTACTGGTTCCATCGTGGACCTTGAACCCACAATCTTTTAACTTGGAGGCGAGAGTGCTATAACCCAAATCTGATACGTCAATGCCATTGGAGGTGTTAACATTTGGCTGAATTATTACTAATCCAAAATACTTTCCATCTGATCGACATTAAAGATCCTATGACATTAGTTAAAAAGAGAATGGAGTTTCTCCAAGAGTCTTGGGCAACAGTCATCCAAATGCTTGCAGGACACTGCTGGTGCAAAAAGGCTGATATGTTTGGCTCAAAAAGGTAACTACACTTGACTATCTATTGTAAACCCCTTTGAAATGTGTCACAATGAGGCAGTACAAAAATACAGGTTTTCTCTGCCTACGTTTTCACACAGAGAGCCGCAATGTGGTATTTACTGTTTCAAAAGATCATCAATGCAGTAGCAATTGGAAATGCTTAAGTGCAATATCAAAAGATGGGTATTTTAAATAAATGCACTATAGAGATATGGGAGTAGAAAAAGCTGCCAAAGATTGATAAAGTAGATATTAAAGCAGACTTCAGGACTTTTTGGAACAAAAATTCAAAAGTAATCTGGATTGAAGTATCCTAATCCAGTCATATTGGAAGAAAGCACTCAAAAGCTGAGACCAACGATTTAATAAATGAACATATTGTAGAATTCAGAGACAGCACCATAATACAAATCCTCTGTTTTAATTATAATGTAAAGAGGATGATATGAATTTAAATCACAAGTTTCAGTGAGTTGTGGTTTGTTAAATACAACCAGTATTATTGTCAAAAAGGGACCGTGCCTTCAGCTCCCCTCTCGACTCTCTACCCCCTCCTTGCTCCCTCCCATCCCTCACCCTGACCATTTACCCCCTGCTCGGGTCCCAACCCAACTGTCCAGCGCCTTGGTACGTCCTCCCGACGTGAAAGGCGCACTATAAATGCAATCTTGTTGTTGTTGTATTTGAGTATGACAAGAAAATAAGACTGCTTAAGTCTAAAGGGATTTTTTTTTAAAAAATCAGTATTGTGCAGTGTGAAATCTCCTGGGATATCCCACAGAAGTTAGCTTCTGGGTATCTCATCATTTACAGAATCAGGACTTCCTGCAAGGAAATCAATTTATGATGATTAATTCATAAACAGTGACAGAACTAAACTCAAGCAGATTGCATCACTTTAACTGTATAACAGTGAGACATGTATTCCCCCATTTTACTTAAAAAAACTACATGCAGACACCATCATATCACCGCACTAGTATATTACTGACAATTCAAAAAACCCAATTCCCTGTGTAGTCTTCCTAACGTCTTCCCTCCCACTTAGTTGAGTCATTTCTCCGACTTCCTTGGTAACACTATTTCATGGAAACATGGTGGTTGCGGCCCCTTCCCACTGGTTTAGACAGTAAATTTAGTGTGAGGGACAGGCAGAAGAAACCCCTATGCAACCAAAGCTTTGTTAGTATCCCTACTACTGTCTCGTTGATTAGCTGCTCACCACAAGTGACTGCACAATGAACAAAAAAAATAGGTGGATGAAAGTCAATCCCTTTTATTGTCTTTCAAACAGAAAGGGTTAGCAGTGATTCACAGGTTTAAAACAGATCGACTGTACAATGATACCTTTGATAGATAATGCCATGGTTGGACAGGATTATGTGGTGAATCCACTACTGATCTTTAAAAATACAATTGCCATATTCAAAGTACCATCACTTTCAGGTTTCCAATTAGAAGACATGACTACATTCCAATAAATAAGGCAGCAGATGCTGTGACTGAAAGTTACTGCGATGTGGCAGATTTAAGGTACGCTATCAAATCGGTACGTTCATTTGCCTTCTTGATGCCAGCAAAGATCATCTTTGTTCCTGGGATATATTTCTTTGGATTTGCCAGGTACTCCATAAGTGTTTCCTCTCCCCAGACGATACCTTTTTTATAAAAAATGAATAAACATTTAAAAATTAATTATTGTATTTGATATAGCTCTTCACTATGTCAACATCTCAAAGCACTTTTTTAATGTAAGGTAGAGTGAATCCATTTGCAAGCGGAACAGTACAGCAAATTCAATCACAGCAATGTTCCACAACCAGCCAAGAAATTAATTACTTTATTTAACTTGGGGAATTTTGGGGGCCTGAACACCAAATAAACTCTCTTCTCTTTTCAAATAGTACCATTGGATTTTTAAAGTCCACCTAAACAAGCAGATGGGACTTCATGTTTTAATATTTCACATAAAAATTGAAGGAAAGTTGAACACTTTAGCCAAGAGAGCCATATAAATCTCTTTTCAGCCAGGAGGGTCATCGTGGCAATGAATGAACAGCAAGCATTCCACTCCAAGAGGAAGAGAAACAGAATCTACTTTATTTTATTCTACACCTGTTTTTTTTCATTCCATACAGGCAAACTCTAGAAACTGTTCATTAACACAACTGTAACAAATAAGTCTTAGCCTAGCTCAATTGGGAGCACTCCCTTTTCTGGGTTGGGTAAGTTGAAGTCTCATGAGGACTTTAATCACACAGTCTAGGATGACTTCTGTGCAGTGCTGGGGACTGCTGCATTGTCAGAGGTGCCTTTGAATTCAAATGTTAAACCAAGGTCACATCTGTCTGTTTAAGTGGGCATTAAAGAGCCTATGACACTATTCAAAACAAGAATGGAGATCCTCCCAGTGTCCTGGTTATGTACTCCACAGCTTTGTGGAATATTGCTATGTGAAAATGTGTTCACATACACATACAAGGTCAGTTCATTTTATATCAATTACTTGTGAAATGCTTTAAGATGGTCCAACAGGGTGTCAAATGCAAGGATTAGAATAATTTACCAAAAAATGCTACAGAAAATTAAAATCAACGAGATTAGACTTTACAGATCCCATTTCCTTGAAAGCCAGGATCAGGATCTGTAAATAATTGGTGTAAGACTGCCAAGGATTGAGCTTGTATCAGCTGGACTCCAATTGTATTGCTCTAATTATCTTCAATGCTGTTATCATACGAATTATTGTGGCAATAATAATAATAATAATAATAATCCTTGCATTTGATATAGCGCTTTTCACGTCGGGAGGACGTCCCAAAGCGCTTCACAGAATATACTGTAAAGTGAATTGACTGTATATTTGTGGGCGAACGGGGCAGCCAATTGCGCACAGCAATGTCCCACAAACAGTCGTAGATTGAAAATGACCAATTTATTATTGTTTTAGGTTTTGGAGGGATTATTATTACGCGTGTGGAGTAAGGAAACTTGCCCAAGGTTTCGCCCTCTGCCTGGAATTGAACTCAGGTCTCTCGCTTGCAAAGCGAGTGCTCTAACCACTGAGCTACAGGACTCCAATTACAAGCACAAGACAACTTTACATCTAATATATCTACAGTACATCTAATCTACCTACCCAAGTTAATTCCACAACTAAAATATGCCAAATCCTAATAATCCTTGCATTTGATATTGATATTATCACGATGTTGAGATGACTCAAAGTGCTTCACAGAATATATTGTAAAGTGGATTGACTGTATATTTTGTGGGCTAACGTGAGTCCTTTTGCCCACCAGCAACATTTCAGACAGTTGTCGTGAGCACTGCCTCATGCAGCAAATATTAGTCTAGCAAATATGAGCACAAATCTTGGAATAATAGCATCTGGTTGAACCATAAAATTGTAAAGTAACTGTGGAATTCAGGACTGATAAGGTGCAGTATTTAATCCAAAGTTTAGAAATACATTTCTTAGCAAATTAGTAAAGAACAGTATTCCTCACAAAGTTAAATGTTAACTACTGTCTATATTTCACCTCTCTAAAAAAAAGGGAGTCACAGTAAACTGTCCTTCAAAAACTGGTATTTTTTTAAACAAAAAAAATCTGTGAAATTTCAACAGTTTCTCTTTTGAATAGATAATTTCTCAACAGTGTCAAAGGGTTTAAATGAAACCTCACCTAGCTGACACTAGTCACTTCTTACATACCTGGTAAAGTTCCCACCTAGCTCAGCCTTCACACATTTTTAGTATTCAGAGAGAAAAAATAACAATCTTAAAAAGTTTCTAAAAACAATGGTTTTATAACCATTGATGGAAGTTTTGATAGATAAAAAATGAAGACAATGCCAAATTGGACGTCGGTTTACAAAGACATCTGAAGAAATCAATATATTTTAATAAGATATCACACATCATTGATATATCTATACCCAATTTGTGCAACATTTAATCCACCAGAATAGGTGGCTGAGACTGCAATTTCAAGATGCTGTAACACCTTACCTTTATTTTTATTAGCCTCTGTGTAAGAGAAGCCTGGAGACTGTCCAGTTTTGCGACCAATCAAGCCTGAGAGGTTTGGTCCAGTCTTGTGCTTGCCTCCTTGTTCAACAGTGTGACACTGTGCACATTTCTGAACAAAGATCTTCTTGCCTTTGTTAATGTCACCCATTTTGCTTTGTCAGTCCTATGATAAAAGTGAAAAATCACTATCATGGTAAAATTGCCCAGTTCAATTGCAAAATAGTTCAGCAGTCAAGGTCACCAATCATGAACTTTCACCAGGTGGAATTGCAAATCTGTCTGCAGCATCATATCATGACATCTTATCAGCAGAAACAAGAGTTGTGGGTAGTTACTTCAAACAGTTTATGATCGTGTCAAACATAAAATTGAAAGGTTAGGACTATACCATGGTTATCATCTTGTGACTGTTGTAAAATATCGCAGTCAATGCATTACTGGAAAATTGAAATATCAAATTAAGTGCCACTCAAAACTCATTTAGTATATGCCCTGAACCCTGTGTCACTTTCAATGCTACAATTTTTCAGTTTTACGTTTCATGAATCCGAACCATGGGTTACTTACAGATCAGAAAACTAGATTGACTAACTGGTGCACAAGCATTTTTAGCCCCTTATCACATTGTTGAGATGACTCAAAGGGCTTCACAGAATATATTGTAAAGTGGATTGACTGTGTATTTTGTAAGCTAATGCGAGTGGAATGGGTACTAGCAGTGCAATCCAGATCATGTGATCACATGCCACGGAAGGTGATGGACTCTGGAATCAGGTTTTCTTTGAGTACAATAAATTGGAGGAATAGGTTTTGGAGACAT